CACGCTCTCTCTCTCCCCCTCTCTCTCTCCCTCTCTCTCCCTCCCTCTCTCTCTCTCCCTCTCTCTCTCCCTCTCTCTCTCTCTGGCAAATTAAAAGCAATGAATAGATAACCCTGTCTGATAATACAGCCGCGGTCCTTTCATAGAACGGACGACGGCTCGGCGGCATGAGGACGAGGCTTGGACCCGGGTCCCTCGGGGCGTGCTGTGGACACGGGCTCGGCCATGGGGGTACAGTCGTGGTTGCACAGGGTGTCCGGGGTAGACAGACTCAGAGGAACTGGAGCAGATTAGTGGTTGCCAGGGGTGGTGGAGGGCAGGACAAGGGGGAGCGACGGCTTCCTGGGGACAGGGTTGCATGCAGGGCAGTAGACTATTCCAGAAGTGGTTGGTGCCAGCTGTAGAACACCGTGACTGCGCTATGTGTCACCAGTGCACCAGTCGTTCTGACGGCAGGCGTGGCACCATGCCACGAGAGGTGACAGGTGGAACCCCTGTTTTGTACAGCCCCAGGGCAGGAAGCCATGTCCCGCCACCCTGCGCTCTGGGGCAGTATGGGGACAAGAGGACTGAGCTGAGCTAGGCTCCCCGGCTCCTGGACCGGCTGATTTGAATACTGCCCTGGGCTCTGGAGCGCAGGGCCAGCCCTCGCTGCCTGGTACCTGGCCAGGTGCCACCAGGGCAGGCGTGCAGTGGCTCAGAGCATGGGACCCCGGAGAAGGGAGTGAGTGCTGGGAACCTGACAGCTGCTCAGGAGGGACTCGGGCCCCCAAACAGCCAAGGCAGCATGAAGCAGGGCCCGTGGTGTGGAGGCTAAGGCGCTGGACCCCACGTGGCCAACGACGCGGTTCGAGTCCTGGACCTGGCAGCTTGTGCAGCACACAGGCACATGTGCACGTGGGCCCAAACCCCTGAGAGGAGACTGGGGAAGAGATTGCAGCGTGGCCGTCGCCCCGGGGGGATTTCTCCCTTTCGTTCACTCTGGTAAGCTCATTCACGCGCCCTATAGCCAATTTAAAACCAACAAACAGTTCTGGACATGCAGGTTCAGCACAGCTCCCTGGTTGGTAGAGTCACTGCCATGTCAGCAGTGTGGAATGTCTCGATTCTAGGGGCCAGCACAGACTCCCCCGTAGCACCCGCGGTTCGAGTCCCGGACCCAGTGGCTTAAACTCACGCCAGGTGCGTGTGTGTCCCCAAAGTCCTGAGACGAAAATGGAGGAGAAGGGGTTCCTGTGTGGCCATTGCCCCTGGGGGTGATTTCTCACTTCCTGTCGCTCTGTCTCTCCAGCACACACACCATATAACAATAAGCTCTCTCTTAAAAAAAGGGAGGTTGGCAGGTGGCATGGTGGTTAAAGGTGCTAGACTCCCACACGGCCAACTGCGGTTCGAGTCCTTTACCTGGTGGCTTGCGTTCTCACTTTCCCTTTCTGCCTCTCTGTCAGGCCAAATTTAAAAATAATAAGAACAAATGGAATTAAACAAAGAAACAATTCTTGGGGCCGGCAGTTGGTGTGGGGTTTGGTGGCACTGGCCTCCCACATGGCTAACTGCGGTTTGAGTCCCGGACCTGGAGGATTGCTTTCTCACTTTCCCTCTCTCTCTGTCTGTCACTCTCTGGTCAAGTTGAAATGAGTGAATGAATGAATAAAATGAAGCAATTCTTTTTTTTTCTTTTTTCTTTTGAGAGGTTTTTGCTATAGGGCGCGTGCGCTCCCCAGAAAGACAGAGAGAGACAGAGAGCGAGAAATCACCCCCGAGGGGGGACGGCCACGCTGCAATCCCTTCTCCTCCATTCTCCTCTCGGGATCTTGGGCACGCACGCCCACGCGCCCAGTGTGAGTTTAAACCTCTGGGTCTGGGACTTGAACTGCAGTCGACTACGTGGGAGTCCAGCAACATAGCCGTTGCACCAACTGCTGGTCCTAGAAGGTCCTCTTGCGTTGGAGATGACACAGGGCAGTATCGGGGTGGCTTTTCCTTTCAGAAAGCTCCCCCGTCCCCAGAGGGCAGCTCTAAACATGCCAGAGCATTCCCCACCATTAGCGTCCGGGGACCTTGCTGTCCCCGCCCTGCCGGCCATTCACCGAGGGCGAGGGCCGGAGTCCAGGCGCCATCTGCTCATATTTCTCCTGCTCATTAATGGACCCTCAGGCAGCGCTGCGGGGCTCAGAGCAGGATTTCATTTGTCTGGGGCCGGGGAGACGGGGTTGCCGGAGCTAATGAGGAATCAGTGCCTCCTAATTGCTAATTAAACGAGTCCGGCTCTCTCCGGGGGCTATTACGTGGGTGGCTCTTGAGTAGCCTGAGAATTCATTATAGTCCCCCAAGAAACACCTGCACCGCCCTGCCCTGTAGGTGGTGTGAGGAGACCTAGGAGCCTCTTCCTGTGCCGGGGCCACCACTTAGGGTTGATGTATGCGTGGGGTCTTTTTTAGTTTCTTTCTTTTTAATTTCTTTTTTTTTATAATTATTTATTTTATTTTATTTATTCATTCATTTATTTTTTAATTTGACCAGAGAGAGACAGAGGGTGAGAGAGAGAGAGGAAGTGAGAAAGCAAGTCACCAGATTCAGGACTTGAACCCCGGTCGGCCATGTGGGAGTGTCCAGCGTCTTAACCACCACGCCACCTGCTGGTCCCTTTCACATTTCTTTAGAGAGGTTTTTGCCATAGGGTGCTTGTGCTCACCAGAGAGACAGAGAGCGAGAAATGCCCCCCAGGGGCGATGGCCACGCCACAATCCCTTCTACTCCTCGGGATCTTGGGCACACACGCACACACGCCCGGCATGAGTTTTAAGCTGCCAGGTCCAGGATTTGAACTGCAGTCAACTACGTGGGAGTCTAGCCATGTAACCATTACAGTATCTGCTGGTCCCCATTCGTTTATTTATTTCTTTCCAGAGGGTGAGAAAGGTACCCCCAGCAGGGTCTTCACCCCATAGTCCACCCCCAACCTCTGCCAGCCGGCCTCATAGACACACGTGAGCCCGGCAGGTGCGGGAAGACCTTGGATGTGCACCCACGTGACTCCAGCTCACAGAGCGCTGCACTGCCGCCGCACCACCACAGCCCGGCGGGGCTTACTCTGTGCTCCTCTTACGTGGTTTATTTTTCTGGCTGAAGGGCGCGTGCACTTGCCAGAGAGAGATAGAAAAGACGCGTCATGGGGCATGGTCAGAGCAATCCATTTTCCTCCGTTCCATTGGGATCGGGGCACACACGCATGCCTGGTGTGTCTTACATACTGCCGGGGCTGGGGTTCGAGACATGGCTGGGCATGGGGGACCCAGCTCTCTTTGGAAGATTTTTACCATAGGGCACATGTGCTTGCTGGGGAGAGGCACAGAGAGAGGGGAAATCCCCCCCCCACAGCACAATCCCGTCTCCTCCATTCTTCTCTTGGGATTTTGGGCATGCAAGCACACAGGCCCAGCGTGATTTTCAAACCCTGGGTCCAAGACTCAATCCATGATTGGCCATGTGGGAAGCCAGTGCCTTAACCACTATGCCACCTGCTGGCCCCAGGACCTGGCTCCCTTAACCACTGCACTCCGGGGCTGGCCCAGGGCCTTCGGAGATCCAGCAAATGTTCGCTGAGCGCCTACTGTGTGTCAGGCTCTGGACCAGGCATTGTGGACAGAGCAGGGAAAGCGCAAGGGTTCTGCCCTCTCGGAGCTCAGTGTGACAGGGAGGCGGACCTGTGAACAGCAAGAAAGTAACAGACTCCGAGCCTGTGCGTTGGGGGGAGGGTGGCGAGCAGCAGGGTTTGTCTTGATGAACTCGGGCTTGGATGGAAAGGCAGAGCCAGCCCGGGGGGCGCAGGCAGGGGGTACGCGCTGAGAGGACAGCGTCGACGGGGGCTGGCTCCGAGGCTGCAATGAACTCAGCGTCTTGCCGTTTACTCGCGTTGGCTGTCTCAGCAAATTAGGAGCCAGCTTGAGCGATGCGTCTCCTCACCAGCAGGCTTGCATTCACACCTGTCCTGTAAGGGGTCCACAGAACCCACGGGAGGGGAGAGAGAGAAAACATTACTTCTGGAACTTTCATTGACAAGTACGCGTGCTCAGAACCCCCCAGAGGGCTCTGAGCACCCTTTCCTCATTCACGCCTGGGGAAGCGTCACAAGGTGGGCAAGGGCTCTGGCTTAGGGGTGGATAAAAGGGACCAGCAGTTGGCATAATGGCTACGTCGCTGGACTCCCAAGTAGTTGACTGCGGTTCAAGTCCCGAATGTGGTGGCTTAAACTCACGCCGGGAGTGTGTGCGTGCGTGCCCAAGATCTGGAGAGGAGAATGAAGGAGAAGGGGTTGTGGCGTGGCCATCCCCCCTGGGGGGTGATTTCTCGCTTTCTGTCTCTCCCTGTCTTTTTGATGAGCACACATGACCTATAGCAAAATCCTAAAAAACAAAAAACAAACAAACAAACAAAACAAGAGGCAGGTAAAATAAAAATTGAGACAGACAGAGGGATGGAGACAGAGAGGGAAAGCACCCCCGCACCCCCTCACCCCACCTCCCGCTGCCTGGGGACAGATACCTGCTCCAGGTCTGCGAGGCTGCGGTGAGAGCAACGTGGCCAGCTGTGCACGGTGCACGCTCACGTGTGTGTGGGGGGTGCCCCCGTCTGATCCCTCCCCTGCCCAGGCCTGGAGCCCATGGAGCCAGCCCGCCCCCTGCTTGTCCGTTTCAGGTGAAGGTCGAGAGGGGTCCACGCCGTGAGGCCGGCTGTGACTTGTTGTCATCACATATCAGAACAACAAAATCACTAGTCTTCCACACAGCACCGGACCACAGCCACGCATCTTCCTCCTTCCCCACCTGCTGCCCCGCATCCCGCCGCCTGCCCCGCTGGTCCCGCACCTGGGCCACGCCGGGACACCTGAGCTTCCAGCTTCCTGTTTGCCCTGCCTGGCTCTCCCGGAGGCAGGCATGGTCCAATCCCACCCAGGCACTGGGAACGGGATTTGGAGCCGGGCCAAGGACAGGCTGACTGAGGGCTGCTCCCCCGCACGGGGAGCCCTTGGGCTGGCTACCTCCCCTCACCCTGGGGGCCTCAGTTTCTTCAAACGTCGCCGGAACACGACGACGCCGGTGCCTGCGGTTGAAGGTGGGACGACGGAGTGCATCCGAACGCCGGGCGCGGTGCGCCTTGCAGAGGTCTGGAAAGGTCGCAGTGCCATCTGGCCTGTCCTCCCCGCCTCACCGACGGACCATCTTACCTGGTGGGAAGTGCAGACTTCTGTGTGTGCTCGTCTCTCCTGCTTATCTGGAGAATAATTCGTTTTTAAAAAACTCCATTAGATGAGGGCTAAGTTTCCAGAAACGTCGCCATCCCAGACAGCTCCCCTCCCCCCAAGTCAGGGGAAAGGGCTGTCCCTTTACCTGGACGTGTGGGGGGGGTCTGTCCAGAGTCCCGGTGCTGGAAAGGGACGCGCTCAGGGCACCCCGCGGGAGCTGTCCGCGCCCCGGTGCTGAAACGGCTCGCGGCTCGCACCCAGGACCCCGAGCGGCGCTGTCCGCAGCGTCGGTGCTGAAACGGAGCCATTTCCTCCCGTGTCGGCCGACAGCTGTCCTCAGCCCGGCTGGGAAGAAACTTGCCTCCTCCCCGCGCCCCGCACTCCTTCCGCCCTCTGTCCCTCTGACTCCTAGGACGCCCCCGCCAATTTATCTTCCCATCCAGACCTCTCCCTGGGGGACTCCAGAGTGGCAAAGGGGAGACCCCGAGAGGTCGCAGCGAGCACTTCCGCTGCGCCCCGCCACCTGTGCCCACAACTTACCTCCCACGCAGCCAGGGCTGGAGTCTCTGCTTCCCAGACCGTCCAACTTCGCCGGCACCCGAAACTCAGCCCTGTCCTCGGGGTCCCGGACCCTGAGGCCCCCCCACCCCCTCGTCCCACGCATCTGCTGCCAGTCTTGGCAGACGCAGGTGTCCCGTGGCTGCCGAGGCGCGACCTGCGCTTTTATGGGCTCCGACGAAGGCGGGGCGCCGGGAATCCGGGGAGGGGCCTCGCCAGCCGTCCAATGAGACTCCGCCTCAGAATGGAGCTCCAAGGATTACCTCATAGGTTGTGGCCTCGGCTTCAGAATAAAAGTCTGGCATCTGCCCCCAGATTGGGGTGGGGGTTTTCTGGATGGGGAGAGAGCGCTCGGTGCGGTCCCTGGAGCCTCCCCACTGGGCCTCACCCTGTCCTGGGTCTCCGAACTCACAGCTGGCCCCGTACAACTAGCTGCGACCTGCTTCCTGCCGTCCCCAGACTGTGCTGGGCAACTGCACTGGGCGACGTGCGGGTGTGGAGTCCAGTTCCACATAGGGAAACTGAGGCTGGCGGGAGCGCGGGGCTTCGAGGGGCCGGGACAGGTGGCACCCAAGCCCAGTTGTTTCCTGGAAGTGTCCCCAGGCCGAGGGTTTGTCCTCCTCGCTGTGGGTGCTGGGCCTCCGTTTCCTGAGAACCCTCTCAGAGCACTGCCAGGAGGGGTCAATTATACGGTGTGGCCCAGACTGGGAGGGACCAGGGCACAGGTGAGGAGTGAGCCTGCAGCCTCAGGGGCAAGATTTAAGGGAACATCAAACTTCGGGAATCAAAATACATATTGCAATGTGTGAGCAAGTCACACTTCAGGCCAAAACTCCATGGTTGGGCTAGCGGGTGGCGTGGCGGTAAGGTGGCTGGGTCCCACGTGGCCAGCTGCATGGCTCAGCTCCCAGACCCTGCAGCTTGAAAAGCATGCTGGGCACGTGTGTGCGCGCCCAAAATTCCAAAAGGGGGGAGGCATGGAGGTGGGATGGCCCCATGGCCACCGCCCATGGGGGTGATTTCTCACTTTCCCTCTCTCTCCTTTACTTTCTCTTTCTCTGGAACGTGCACAAGCTCTATAGCAAAATTTGAAAACTTAAAAAAAAAAATGGGGCCAGCAGGTGACATGGACACTGGACTCCCACATGACTGACTGTGGTTCAAGTCCCAGGCCTGGTGGCTTCCTTTCTCAGTTTCCCCTTCTCTCTCTCTGTGCCTCTCTGGTCAAATTGAAATAAATACATGAATAAAATTAAGTTAAAAATAAAATAATTCTTTTTAAAAAATAGAAAATTAAAAAAAAAAAAAGGAAAGGAAAGGAAAAAGGAAAAAAATAATCCACATGAACAAAATGTCAAGATTTTACATAAGGAAGGACCAGCAGTTCGCATAATGGCTAACTTCACTGCAG